CCTTCGTCGACTACGAAAAAACCTTCCACAGCGTCGAAACCGACGCCATTCTGTCATTACTAGACGATCGAGAATTGGAACCAGCTTACGTGAGGGCATTAGTTGCTAAAAGAACTGTACACCGACGATGCAGCAATTCCATAGCCCCTCTATTCGAAAGAAGGTGACAAGGCAACACAATCTTGACGAAGCTGTTCATATCAACCTTGCAGTGGGTGATGAAGTCACTGGGCTGGGACAAGAGAGGCATACGAGTTGATGGGAGATCTCTGTTAAATTTTCTTTTGTGGACGACATCGTTTTCTTTTCGAGCAGTATCACTGAAGAGGGCGATGCTGAAAGAACTAAACGAAGTAGGGGAGAAGGTCGGAATGCGAATAAATCGGAAGAAGACTCAGTTTATGAAGAACGCCCTCTGTGAAGATGCAGAAATGTGATTGGAAGGCATCCAATTATGAAGACATTTTCCTACGCATGTCTCGGACTTCTGACGACTTGTGGGGAGAACTCAAAGGAGAAGAAGAGCAGCTTGGGTCGCCTTTGGGCCTAACAGAGCCACTGACTTGACCGACCCGAAGCTTCGAGCCCACCTCTTCGACTCAACCGTACACCTGGCGCTCTGCTACGCAGCTTAGATCGGGGCCGATATCACAGCCACGTCGAAAGCTGAGCGCTTCTGATAAAGGATGTTTCATATTGTCAGTCGCAGTGGCATTTTGACATGAGATAGGTGCCATTCAAAGCAGCTAAAAAATGTATAGCATGCAGCGCAGCATTGAGGAAGGAGTAAAATTACATTAAGCATTGATAAAGTTTTCATCTATGTTCAAGCCCAAGATGCATGTGCGTCCGCGCCGGCACCCGCCGCTAGCAGGCCGTAGCAGCCCGTAGCAGCCGCTGGCCGCCTTTGTTCACAGGAGCAAAAAAATAGACTTTCACTACTTTAAGTACACCCGCCTAAGCTTTTCATCCCCCACGCTTTTTTCTTCCTGTTGCATTTCGACCTCTTGCAGTTGAATCATAGTTCGCCAAAGTTTTTCGCGGTGTGATTTCTCTGACTTTGGATGCGTTTCTGTAGGTGTGCTATTTGTTTACCTTTGAGTATGGTTCTGTTTCAATTTTTTCCTTGGCTATCGGTTTATCGTGAACATCTCTATAATGCGTAATGGTCAAACTGCACATTAGCAGCAAAGAGGGAATTAGAACGTTGAAGATGGAAAGCTAGGCGGGTGCACCAAAGTAGTGAGAATCGATGATTTTGCGCTTCTATGAACAAAAACGGCCAGCATATGGGCCTGGCGGCTGCTGCCACCTGCTGGCGGTTGCTGGCTGCTGCTACGGGCTGCTACGGGCTGCTAGCGGCGCCTGCCGGCGCGCTAAGAAGGCACCTTTAGTTCCACTTACAGCGTGTAAATTCCCGCAAATTCAATAACTCTCGGATTTGTTGCGCAGCTAGGAAAGGCTGTTTTGTAATCAGCATTTCAAGCTGCTTCTATTGATACCTATCTTATGCGAAAAGGCATTTTCTGACAGTTCCTTTGTGAAGTCAGCCGCCACAAGCACCATCTTGCCAGTCTTTGGAGTACGGATACAATAAGAATGTCCGCTCTTCGTGTATTAGTGGAATACGTCGCGAAAGCGAAACGTCGACGGGACGTCATATCATAAGAAGAACAGGAGATGAACATTGAGAATATCAGAGTGAATTCCTTGCAAAGCAAGCGTCCTCAATGAAGACTACAAACGAGATGCGCAGACATATTTGGAACGGATGGACCAGCTGAGACAGCTGGATATAAATTCTGCAATTGGAACTCACAGACGCAGCCACCGACGCCACCAAGACGATCGCGGATGTCAAAATCGAGGAACAGGTCAGCAACTTCTGTACTGTGGCCTGCACGCTATGTGAGGACAGCTCTAAGTGAGCAAGAATCCACAGCAGTGCCACTTCTTCGGCGACCTTAACGTCATAATGATAATTAGCTATCCTACCAATCCATCACTCTGATAATAGCGAAGCCGCAAACTGCAAAAGAGATGAGCAGAAAGTTTGCGCTCTGCTCATAGGCTCAAAGTAGAGAGTAAGCGGCATCCAGAGTGAAGCTGCGCTGCGACTATGATGGTGAAATCACTCAGAACTCTCCGACGCCGACTTCGTAGGTTAATCTACAAGGATTTGATACGAAGTCAGCTTGTTTGTTAACGCTATGTGGCGTTTCCACGAACAAACGTTTAAGGACCAGGGTGCTAGCTGCACCAACGTGGAGGAGTATATCCACAGCTCTAACATATTTTTGAGGTACGATCGGTACAAATTCAGCTCATGCCGTTAGTAATAGGTATTAACGATTTATTCTATAATATTAGGTTGGCCCGAAAGTTCTGTCGCACCATTTTCAAAAATTCATAACTTCTGCTTTTTTTAACCGATTTGGGTGCCCTCATTTTTGTATGAAATCGTAAGTCATGCTCTTTATAACATATCTTAGCTGCTTGTTAGTGATCATCTGTTGCATAGATAGGAGCGATAGAAGAAAATTAGTCAAAATTCGAATTTTCTGTGTAGGGTCATAAAAAATCGGAAACTTGCAACAAAAATCGGAGCAGTCGGTATTGTAGGTTCTTTTACCAGCTCTTTCTAACTGTGCAAAGTTTGTGCTAATTGAGCGTTTCTATGAAAAGTTATACCCTATTTTCAGGTGTATAAGCCGCACCCTTTTTGCCCTAAACGCGAGCAGACCCAGGCGTGCCGCTGCGCATGTGCCTCGCGAAGCGGTCGCTCTCTCGCACATTGCTCTCACTTAACGCGCCCCATCGTAACAGGCAGTCTTTTGGCGTGTGCGCCTTTAGAGTGAAAAGGGTGCGGCTTATACACCTGAAAATAGGGTAATTTCCCTGAAAAATGCCAAAATAAATCAAATTCGCCCTTTTCTATTGCTTGCTCGAAAATCATAACTTTTCATAGAGACGCTCAATCGGCGTAAACTTTGCACTGTTAGAAAGAGCTGGTGAAAACCTACAATACCGACTGCTCCGATTTTTGTTGCAAGTTTCCGATTTTTTATGACCCTACACAGAAAATTCGAATTTTGACTAATTTTCTTCTATCGCTCCTATCTATGCAACAGATGATCACTAACAAGCAGCTAAGATGCGTTATAAAGAGCATGACTTACGATTTCATACAAAAATGAGGGCACCCAAATTGGTTGGAAAAAGCAGAAGTTATGAATTTTTGAAAATGGTGCGACAGAACTTTCGGGCCAACCTAATATTTACACATGTACTATTCCTCCTGTCTCGGACAAGTTGCAGATTGTCCATGCACCTATTTAGCCGCCGGGTCACCTTCATGGCTCTTGGTACTGCACTCGGCGGCACCTACTTTCATGTGGGCGATCTTCACGTTGCAATGATAATATTGTTTGCCAGAAGTTGGTATCCAGCCTATACACGCCCAACTTGGCTGTATAAAACAGCCTGGATGCCAAATTCTGGAATCGTCACTATCGCCGTGTTCCTCTTGTCACTATTCCCTGTGAATAAATCGCTGTTTCCACCCAGTCGATCTTTACCAAAGCTATCAGCATTGCTGAAATTACTCAACGTCGAGAGGCTGTAACTAAGTGGAGAGGAAGGCGTTTGGAGCGATTCGAGCTAATTTGTAGGGTATATTATGTACCTAGAGTTATGTAGAAAGTGTGGAAAAATCATGCGAAGAGAGATGATTTACGACTTTGCTTTTTCCGACCATCTCAAGTGGCTCTCCTAATGGTTTCAAAGCCATCTAACTACGAAAAAAGTTTGCCACGCTCTCCGTTCAGATAACACTTCCATGAATTTCCATACGTAGTTCCAAACTCCTTATTGCGCATCTACACAGTTTAATGCCTTTAATGCCTATCAGTTCTTTTTCATTATAGAGAAGCTTTTTGTTTATTCCGGGGCAAAATTTCTAATTCCCGCGCTGGAAAGGAGAGCATATCAAAGCGGGAAATTGTTGGTTTTGCATAGAATGAGGCACTAGGGCCTGCGCACTAGGCGTCCTCAGAAGATGAGGGGGTGGAATAAAAAAAAAAGGGGGGGGGGAAATGTATGTATGTTATATGACCCAAGTGACAACAGCAATGAGATTAGCTTCATTTGTAGGGTTCCTTCATACTACGCCGCAGGACGCGGTATGCTGCGGTGCACGCCGCAGGACGTAGCAGCCTGCGGCGTGCGCCGCTGAAGTCGAGTGAAAATATACGCTCATGGCAGCACAGCTTCGCCGGTTATGGATGTACATCTATATTTGCTGCACGTTCGTGTTCTCCAAGAGGTTCCTTCACAGCGAGGCTCAAATTTTCACTGCGACTGCAGCGCTGCAGCTCGCCGCGTCCTGCGGCGTAGTATGAAGAAACCCTAAAGGGGAGGACTGCAAAAACTTGTTGGGTTAATGGGCGTAGAGTCTTGTCACTTCACGGCTAACGTTTCGGCAATCATCCTCTTCAGGACCTGGCAATCTGTTTTGCAAATATATAAAATCAGGAGACGCAAGGCGATCTGCAAACGTATTTAACCAGTCAAGCCTGAGTCTTACTTCAAACCTTGGGCGCTTTTCAGTTTCCAGTGAAAATCAGAAGTCTGTGATAGTCAGTCAAGTAAAGATTTTTTCTGGAAATTTTACCTCACCCTTTTGAACACCGAGTGTAGACGAAGCGGTTGGACCTTTAGTGTGCCTTGCTCAGAAGGTTTTTTGAAAATTTTTATCACTTCCATTCCGATTTTGCACGGAGCAATCAGAGACTTTTCATACACATCATATCAAGCTGAAACATGCCTTTTTTCGAGCCCCCGCACCTCTCCCCTCCCCCCCGCTACCCCGCAAAAACGATATCCCCTATGCCCTTTTCTCCTAAAACGATATCCTATCTGCCCCGTACGCCACCTTTGCCTAGCCCAGAACAAATCATGTAACCAAACGAGCATGTCTCATAACCAAACAGCATAAACGACTAGATTTATTAAAGTGGGAAATCACAAAATCACAAGGCTAAACAAAAACTAGAACATCAAAATAAATCAACATTGATTCATTTACAATACAATAATTGCACTTCATACAAAAACAACAAACGCTGAACTTAAAGAGAATGAGGATATCCCGTCAAATTTTGTCCGACTTCAGACTTGTGAAAAGAATGGGTATAAAATGGATAAGTGAAAGACATAGAGGTACATGTGAGGATCAACAATGCAGCTTTAATAAATAATAGAGACTATTATGTTTGAAAATGATCAAAAAGTGGTATTTTTGACTTGTAGGCAGCGCAAATGTCAATGGAGCGGCGCTGCGCTGACGCCTATGAGTAGAGACTATCGCAAAAGATACGACTCAAAGGCGTGCACGAGGTCATAGCGAGTTGCGTTTAACTGCTAGGATCTTTTATTAGGTCATTCCGAAAGTAATTTCGCTTTTTTCAAACGGACGCCACAGACGATGGAACAAAGATTTCTGAGAGATCTTGGAAGCATTCGATGCAGAATTTCATTCTCTTTCTAGAGGTTATGTAACTGTTGCAACATAGTCAATGAGCTTTCAGAAAATAACCAAAACCTGCAACCCATGCTTTTTGAAATGGTCAAGTTTTATGATTTTTTAAAACTTTCATATCAATCCTCGGAAGGAGTTCAAGTAATGATTCTATAGAGCAAACCTTATCGAATGCAGCACTACTTTTTTCTTCTTTCCGTAGCTTGTCATACATTTTTAACAGAATTTTAACTGATGCTACAGATTTCCATACTTGGGCAGCTAAATCCTCGTAGAACATCAAAAGAAGAGCAGCTCGCGCACTATTCGATGCAGCATTTTCTCCTCTTTCTAACAGGTGTTTTTTGTTTCCGATTCGTTTAGTTTCCGGGGATGAAATCATCATAACTCATTTCTTTAGCGAGCCCTAGGCTGTACCCGAAAAACTCGAAATTTGATATTTCGAACCCCTTAAACCCTCACATGCTTTGTAAAATTTATGCTAACTCATAGTACTATCTTGGTAGTCTCAAATTCCGAAAAATTATGATGTTTGATGCGATTGTGGCTGAGGTGGGCCTGCCAAAATCCAATGGTTCTGTTAAAAAATCTTTCACAAGATTGCGACGAGATACAAGGAAGAGAAAAAAGTAGTACTGTATTCTATAAGGTTTACTCTATCGAATGTTTACTTGCAATCCTTCTGAGGATTGATATGAAAGTTTTAGGAAATCATAAAAGTTGACCATCTCAAAAAGCATGGGTTGCAGGTTTTGGTTATTCTCTGAAAGCTCATTGACTGTTTTGCAACAATTACATAACCTCTAGAAAGAGAATGAAATTCTGCATCGAATGCCACCAAGATCTTTCAGAAATCTTTGTTCCGTCGTATGTCGCGTCCGTTTGAAAAAAGCGAAATTACTTTCGGAATGACCTAATATAAATCATTCGCAATCATTGACGAATACAAATCCACCAAGTTGCCTCATCTGCCTAGGAATATACGAGATTTACTGCATCTTGGCTTATGTAACCGATCTGCACATACTTTTGCATGATTCGTTGAAAGAATGGCGGAAGAAGTAAGAATTCAAGAAGTCATCATGATGTGATCATAAATAAGACAAATAACGACATGAACTTGATTAAAAGCGGAATAAAGCCAGAGGAACGCAAAAAATTTGAGTGGGTTATTTCCGCTTCAGGTTATACGAATTCGCTATTTGACGCGGCAACGACAGAATTAGAGATTCGAGAGAATTGAGATCCAGGTATATGGTCAGCACTGATTGAGCTCTGCACACCACAATGCTTCAATGACTTGTTGATCGACAAATTTAGCAAGTTCAGCTATTTTCTGTTCTGCTAATTGATAGCAGTGTTCCGTATAGCGACCCTGTGGTAACTTTGAACATGCGGTCGTAGCAAATGAGTTTATATCAGCCTAAAACGGGGACCATAATTATTTGGGAAGATGTTTAAGAGAAAGTTTCAATGTTTCTTACTAACCTTTGCCGTGACTGCATAATTCTTTGCATTCTCCAACATTCTTTCACAGAAGGCGCATGTGATCCTCTTCTCTTCCTGAAATTCTCTCTCCTTGGTGAAGAATGTTGTATATTGGTAGGAACATATTTATGTTAGACACTACTTTTTACTGATGGCCATTGCTTGTGAATGCGGAGAACTTGGAAGAGATTGCTAAATGGTGATCCTACATGCAGGAGGAAAAGTGCTATGAGAAGCGCTCACTGAGAAATAAATCTCATAAGAATTTTTTCTGAGAAAATATAGACTTCGCTTATTAACAAGTAAGTGAATATTTGATATCCGCACATTTTCACATTGAAACTCTGTAATATTCTATTAGGTTGATGCATAATTCCCTGCACCAAAACAGGTACAGACCGCAATAATCCGCAATAATCCTACATCTCAATTAGGATTCGATATATCGTTAGATAGAGCAAACATAGCTCTACAAGATAATGCTTAAAAATTTGCAGCAGCTTTGATCCAAGCGAAGTTTTGAGCCGAAAACTGAAAAAAAAAAACCATGCGCTCGAAAACCAAAAAAACGAAGACCAATCAAGACAAAATTGTAACTTGGTTCAAAAAGCTCCTACAAATTTCTTTCTTCATGCGTAGACATTTCACGTAAGACATTTATCTATGCGGTTGCTGTATTTTTTTCTCAGCTAGACGAGGAGAAAACGAAGTTTTTCATGTTTTTGCCAAATTAGTGCTGAGATGTTCTAGCACTAACAGTTGTAGCACATGCCATTAGCAGTGAAACTCTACATTTTCAGCCTTCTAGAACTGTAGTCTACGAGAAATGACGAATCTAGCTCTCCTTATCCGAATTTTTTTTGCCTAGTTGCTGAAAATTCGATATTTCTCGTAAACCAGTTGCTGCAAAGAGTTGAAAATTCACACTCATGCTTCTAAGGTCCTATAGTACACGATGTCAGTGCTAGAACATCTCAGCAATGGTTGGGAAAAAACATGAAAAACTTCGTTTTCTCAATTTCTAGCTAAGAGAAAAATGCAGCAACTGCATAGAGAAATGTATTATAGGAAATGACAATGCATGAGCAAGTTTGGAATTTTTAAGAATTTTTCTGAACGGAGTTCCAATTTTTTCTTGGTTCTTTTGGGCGCTTGGATCTTTTTCGTTTTTGGCTTCAATCTTCGCTTGGATCAAAGCTGCTGCAAGTCTTTAAGCACCATCTTGTAGAGCTGGGTTTGCTCTATCTAATGATATATCGAATCCTTCTTGGGATATAGGATTATTGCGGTCTGTACCTATTTTGGTGCAGGAATTATGCATCAACCTAATATATTATACCTTGTAACCCTTTCGTACCATTTTTATTGTGAAAAGAATTGGAATGCTATGTTTTAATTAGGTAAAATTTTAGGTTGCTAAGAGTGACTCATATGTATGTACTCACTAATTTGTTTGTAAGCTCCGCACTCCGACGCTCAGTACGATCTACTCTGGCCTTGTGCCGTGTAGTAGCAGTTTTCTCTGTCGTAGAATCAGTGGTTTCATTCCCGGATGCATTCGAGTTCGTTGTGGTCGTTGTCGATGAGATCGGTGCAACAGTCTGGAAAATACGAAAAATTGATAGCTGAAGCAAAAAAGATTACTATGAACTCACTTTGAATGGGTTGTGTTCCTCACATAAATTCAGCCTGATGCAGATGTCCTTAGTCGAGAAGTCATAGTTTAGTGAGAAATAGATCTCTGGCAAGGACGTTTCCACAAATGTGAAACATTGGTCCTAAAAATCATTTTTGAGCTGGCCGTGAACTCTGGACTCACGCATTAATTACGCAGATGGGAACGAATCTAAGAAGGAGTAGAGTAAGAAGAAGAAAATGACTATCAACAACTATCAACACCCTTTTTGTCTCTTTCTTTCTCTGGTCTCAGCAGCATTTGATAAATTTGCATAAGCCATTATTTTCAAAGCAAAACAATGGTTCAAACGATCACTTTTCTAGATCGCATACATTTTTCAATTTTCTTGACCAGTAAGATATTTTCCACTGCGCTGGTCGAACATCTATTCGCTAAAAAAAGGTTCAAAAATTTCTAATGTTTCTGATGTCTAGTATAGAAATTCGAGTGCTTCCTAAGTTACGAGCATGAGTTTTCCAATTTTCTGGGCCATAATGATTTTCTTCACTACACTGAAGGGAATGAGATGAAGTAAAATTCAACTTTAGATGTCTTTGTATTTGCAACAGCAAATTGTTGCTTGTCAGTTATATACTTAGAATTGAGAACTCGTTTAAGTTCGAAAACTCATTTAAATTAGTGGCATTAGTGACAATCTACGCAATTCTTCATCTAGATTCACATTACCATTCTGCAAACATAAGACTTCTATACATGGTCAAATTGACGCTGTTTGAAATCGTATTGCTTAGGATAGACATACGATCTAGCGCTAACTTTCTCTGATTATTTTGTTCGAGACGATCGCACCACCACGAAAAGATTGTAAAAGGAACCCGGAACCGCCGCAAACTACAGAAGTAAGTGATTAATTTACCATTATTTCTATCGTTTCTCATCGTTTTTATTCACTTCCCTATATGGTGACAGCCACGCAATCGCTACTTCAATAGATTGACCTTAAGCTACCGTAATCTGCCAATGTCTGCTAAATCTCTCGCAAGGTCATGTCATACGATTCGATGCTCGAAAAACAATCATATCAAACGGACGTCCTCGCTTTCGATGAAACCACTATGGTGAAGTCGTAGAAAAATATGCGCGTCGGCTAAAAACTGTTTGAACTCGTCTCATACCTTCAAGACGATCGGCAACACTCGACATTTGTCGTGTAAAACGGCTCTCAACTGATTTTGGCTCAGTCCAACTCGATGTTTCGTCACTGAGAGCAGTTGTGAACAGAAAAAGCAGGCAAGATTTGATGCTGATGGAACTGATGTCGAAGGTCTGAAATAAGATTTGTTTATAAATTATGTTTTCCTAGAAGTATAGGGATTTTTTGGGGCTAAGTGTTAGTGGTGAATAAAACGGCTTATTTTCAGATTGAGCATCTGAAACTTGATTATAAATGGCCCACAAAAGTCTGCTCTTGTTTTGAAACTGTGCTGGTAGGAAGACTTTTTTGTTTACAAACACGTTTTCACGCTGAAAAGAAGTTTCGAAAGTTAGCTGACATTACTGAAAGACTATAATACACAAAAAAGGTTCAGCAAAAGACTAACTTGTAATTTGCTACATAGATTATAGATTTATATAGATTTATATCGATTCTGTTCACGATTCTCCAAAACGCTAAGCCTCAAAATAGGCACTCGGCATATTTTGATAATATTGCTATGAATTTGCTGGCATAAAAATTATTTCCTGATCAGGGAGTGAAAAGGAGTAGGTGGGGGAAGGGGGGAGGGTAAGGGAGGAGACAAAAAGCTTGTAGCTGTTAATAATTGTAAAAAATTGAAGCTCTGGCGAAAATAAGACAGCAAAAGGACCGACCGCTCATCCACAAAATTGTAATCCTTCGAACTGCTCCATCCAAAGTAGGCATGTGTAATGCTGATTGTGACAGCAAGTACTGAAAATAAATATTTTAGTGTAAGAGCTGGTATATAAATTTCTTCTTAAGCATTATTCGGTGGTTCAATTATACTCCTATGCAACTATGTAAAAATCTTCCCAGTATCGTAGTCAAGGAGCTGATTGGTCTGCGAAATCACGGTCTGGGCGAGAGTTTACTGTCAGATTTCTCGGTCACGGATGATTCATATGAGTTGCCGCTCGGGTAACTGCTCAGAGAGAAAAATCTAATCAATTTCCCTAAGAGAAGCCCAGGACGATAGTTTTTCCCGAATAGATGTGGTTGAGTCCATCTTCCCGCAAGCAATTTGGCAAAATATCCTGAGGCTGGATCCCACTTCCTCGACTTTTCCTAATAACCTCCGAAGTTAATCTACTTCTCAAGGCAAAGCAATCCTTCTCAATCCTGTTTTCGTAGCTCTTACATCTGCTCATCAGGGGAAAAAACTTCCCAGACAAATTGCTCCTCTAATTAGCCGCTGACCAGGATGAATTCAGGCACTTGTCCCACTTGTCCCAAGTACTTCCGCGCTGATTTTTCCCCCGTCAAAATTACCACGGTGCTCGTTCCGTCATTTTTCCATCTACGACATGTCATAATTAACGCTAATCCGCCGACGTCGCAGATGTTCTTCAACCGCCGCGTCATCTCCTCTTCACAAACGCCCAGACACATTGAACTCGATAATGAGGTCAGAACAATTACAATTGTCGGATCGGGGCATAAAATAAGCTATTCGGCTACAGTAGGTCGATTGCACTACGGATAAATGGCCTTACAGGTACTTAGCGCGAAAAAGTTGAGCAATTGCTACCGAATGCATGGCCTTATCCTTCTTGCGCGGATAATTGCCTGGAAATGGCTGTTGGAAGATTTTTAGCCTTTCTAATTGTTTGTTTAGTAGGACAGACTATTCAATATGAAAAAAAGGAGGTAATGGGAAAACGAATAAGCAAAAAAAATTCTTTGTAAAGGCCGGGCATACTTCACGCGATTTCAGACGCGATTTGGCAATATTCCAACTGTCCATAACTCACTGTATGCACATTTTAACCCATTGACGACGATGTGGAGCACCGGTGGCCTACGCGCTTTTTGCTGCCAGGGACGATGTCGACCCCCGGTGGCCCACACCTCTCGAAAAGTCGTATTATTTCCAGGTCTAGTATTTTCTCCACATATGAATATTTTTCCAATTTTTTGTGTTCTTAGGACCTACAGGCTCTGTCGTTCAAGAAAATAATAATAGTTGCTTACAAAACAATGTTGCATTTCGTAAATAAGCACGAAACCTTTCTACACTGAAAGCGTTGTGCAAAATCGCGTCGTCCCACAGCGCCGCCGCGCAAAATTAGGCGTCCTCATCAATGGGTTAAATGTACAGAAGATAGGCATTTCATCAATCCATGTAAGTTGTACACACTATGCATGTGCACTTTGCCAGGTGTTGGATATGAAGACTTCTGGCGAATTGCCAAATCGCGTCGCGACTGAAATCGCGTGAAGTATGCTCGGCCCTTGAAGGCAGCGTCCAGGCAAATCTGGACATGTGGGGTTCTGTTGTGGAAAGTAATTTTGTGGCCCTAACTAAGATACTGCCCAAGCGGCATCTTGAATGGTGAACTCATAGTTGAGATATTCGTCTCCAAACTGGATCCCAAGATCGTATTCGCATGGATTCATGGCGCGACACGCGTTAGTCTCGCGCGAAACTGATGTGTTGCGCCATGAATCCATGCGAGTTCGATCCCGGGGTCCAGTTTGGAGGCGAATATCTCAACTGTGAGCTCACCAAGCCGCGTGGGCAATGTTTTAGTTCGGCTCCAAGATTACCCTCCAAGTGAGATCCCCATAGGCCCAGATTTGCCTGGATGCTGCCTTTGAAGCAAAAATTTATTAGAAAATTTCGCGGTCACCTACAATAAGCAAATTAGTTCTATAAAACAACACTATGCAATGATATCGATACCAATGATATGCGCGTAAACAATGATAATATGTGCTCTACGGTTATTTTTTATGCGCGAGCCGCAAGCAAGTTGCCTGCAAAAGTATGGCATTTTTTACGTGCAAATGTTGTCGGTCGTGGGTTTTTTGTGCAAAAAACGTACTATGCATGGGAAGTGCAAGAAAGCAAGGAAACAATCATGGAAAAAGTAGATAGCGCCCTCAATGACACTTGAAGTACATAATAGTCTCTAGAGTCTCAGGTCTGTGGTGACAAAGGGCATACAACTTGAGTCGCTGAAGAAGTACAAGTTTTAGAAGAAAGTTTGCAAGAGTTGGGTGTGGTCTATCGTCTTGCTACGCTGTAAAAATAATCTTGACATAAAAAAACAGTTCCTCTGCATACACATCACTGCACACCTCTGTTATAGAGATGAAATAAGTAGTCAATATAAACTGAACTTCTGCATGAAAGAATAGAGAGACTTTATAGTAACTTGGTTTTTGGCAGCAGCGGTTTTGAACGATTAAATTGCTGCAAAAGGGTAGATTCATTCATGCGAAACATTTGACTTTCATGTTTGTCTTTGAATCCTACCGTATGTCATAAACAGTCATTGTAACTTAAGTTCAACAATTGGAAATTTTTACAGCCTTCCCAAGATATCCATTAGAAACATACTGTGTCCAGGCGAATTCAGATGATTGAAAAGCCTTAGCTAGATCATTGTTCATGCTGCAGCGCCTATATTGGCAGAGAAAACTGCTTTCGCCCAGACCGTATTCTTGCGAGCGGACCAAACAGCGTTCGCGTTTTCATCAAAGAGTACGAAATGGGCGAAAATTTGGATCAAATTGATGAACACCGCTTGAGAATCTTAGTTAACCCAATGAGAGATGTGGACCCGGTGGCCCACATCTGTTTCAAAGTCATATCCTTTGTAGGTCTAGTAATCCATAGATTAGAATTTTCTTTTCAAATTTTTTGCACTCTTGGGACCTGTAGGCTCCATCTTTCAAAAATGTTTATTGTTGTTTGCACAACCTTGCATTTCGTAAATAACCACAAAACCTTCCCACGCCAAAAATGTTGTGCAAAATCGCGTCGTCCCATAGCGCAGCCACGCAAAATTAAGCGTCATCGTGATTGGGCTAAAGCTGAGTTGAAGCTTCGCTATCAGTTTCTACCTAACAAACGAAGGCTCAGGTTCAATGGAACACTGTTTCAAGTGACAGTGAATCGCAGTTGTGTAGATTTATAAGGCACGAAGTGTAATTGCCGACAGCAAGCATTGCTCAAAGTATTGACGCAGGTTACTTAATTTTTTACTGTATATTTGTAGCTAAGACCAATTTCTGATGGAACAAAGCATATCATTGCTGTACTCCGAACATAAACTGAGTTAAAGGCTAAAAAAAATCCGGAGTGAATTCTCTTTCAAATCGTTTTGTCTTTTTAACGTTTCACTGCAGCATAGCACATTGCCTTTCAACAGTAGATTGAATAATTGTAAAAAGAAGTAGATATTATAGTAGTGCATGTCAGGAATTGAACTGTAATTGCACACTAACCCACCAGATTATGCCGGCTTTAGTCAGCTCAGCTTGTCCCTCAGAACAGTAGTTCGCCGCAAACTTTCATTCACACGCTCAAACATTTGCGTCATCGGCGCGCATCACGGCAGTGAACCATTTATTGCGTACTATACAAACTATATGTCCGTATTTCACATATTTCACATCCGATGCAAAAGTGTTTGTTCACGGCCATTTCTCATTGATGATAGTGTTTGCTATAACGCACGCAGTGTGCACCGTGCACTCATGCACTCTTGGATTTGGGGCTGAGTGAAGTGGCGAGAGGAGGGGAGAAAATCCTTGCACGAAGCTTATCGGATGTATAACCCTCCTCCTAGTGGATACGTGGTGGACGATTGGATTTCAAGAGCAAACCGTTCGCGATAGAGCGGCGCGGCGGCACCATTCAAAGCGCTGAAATGAAAGGCACTGACCGCTCAAACCGAGGGTGGTGAAATTTAGTGCTATATATTAGCGGGGGCCTTAGGTAAGCAATCGCTCAAATCTCGCTGCAAAAGATGAATTCCATACCGAGAAAATCGCTCAAGAAAGTAGAAGCAGCAGCGCTGGCTCCGCCCATCAACGGTGTGGTCTGAAGATTACAAGAACTGTTCTTCAGTGTATTCAGAATAAAGTCGTAGATCCTCCCTACATTATGATCATCAGATTTGTGCGCTTCTGTCTGCCCTAAAGCCCAATTTCAGACTTGTATCTCCAGATTACCCAAATTGATGGGCGGAGTCAGCATGGCAGCTTCTGCCTTCTTGAGCTATTTTCTCCCTTTGGAATTCATCTTTTGCAGCGAGACTTGCGCGACTACTTAGGTAAAGGCCTCGCTATTCTATAACATGGAAATCTCACTGTGCTTATTATAAGTGGACGGTGCCAAGGGTAAAGGTGCCGTGCTCTACCGCAACCGTCCTGCTCCAGTCCAAATTTAAAGCCCCCAACAGGTACCGGGATGAGGCCACTGTAGTCGCCCCTTTATAGATCACCCGAATCTCTTCAAGCAATGAAGTGGTCGGCGAAAAACGGAGGCTTCTGAGAGCGAGAATTCTGACACTTGGGGGAAGTGTCAAAAAAACTGGCGATTGTTTGCCGGACCGGGGTCGATCCAAATACGCAACAGAAAGAAAACGCGTGTGCGCCGTGGTCTTTGTCACTGAGACTTTTTCATCCGGCGACCATAGCAGTGGAATTAGGCCCTTCATCGACATCTACTTGACATTTTCGTGTTTGTTGCAGCCCCCCCCCCCCTCTCCCGCCCCGCATGGCTGTACAAACGAAATGAAACAAGCGAAGTCCAGTGGTTTTCTAGGGTGCTTGAAACTGTGGAGAGGAACCTCATTGCTGTTGAAGAAATCAAATTCGGGCCATTTATGGTCAACACAATGAATGATTTTCCAAAACTTTTTGACATAATTGCCAGTCATTAATGTAAGTCTAGCCACTTCATGTCCTAGTGTGTGCAACTGCAGACATTGCACATAGTGAGCGTAATCCTGGATTTGGCTGACCGTGGGATGCATTATCTCCGAACAAGGCTTTACAGCGTCTTTTTCCAAGTCTTTGCATTTCATTAGTGAAATTTGTCAGAACAACTACAATATTTTAGATATGACATGCAATATTCGCAATGTGTGCAATTACACATTCTAGGACATGAAGTGGCTAGACCATGAACCGTGCGATCATTTTTCTTAATGATAGGCGAATGGGGAAGGGCAAAGCATTAATGACTTTGAATAAATGATGTAGATCGAATTTCTAAATAGTTTGATGTCTTAGCTTTCTTTTTTGGGCGTCAACTCCCTAGTTTTTCTTTTCGGCAAGCGCTCAGTTTGATTTTGAAGATAAAAATCTTCGTCACGACAAAAACTCAATCAAGAACTGATTAGTCAAGGTTAGCAGTATGTGAAAGTGTTCCAAATTTTTGAATTGCAAACGTAATGCTATTAAGAAAGTAGAACTCCCTCCGAGAGAAAGAGTACGGTAAAAAGGCCAATTGACAGACCTATTCAACTTCAATAATAAAAATCTTTTCCAGCAAAATAAATAAGAAAAATAATTCCTCAAAAATGATTAGCACCAGTGCTGATTACTCACTATGAACAAATATGCGGAATGAAAAATAATAATAAAAACAAATTAGCTTTTTTTCATCGACCAAACTTCTACTACTTTTTTCCGAAAACTTTCGTAAAAATAATGTTAAACTATCTTTGCTTCTTGTACACGGATACTGTCGTCTTTCTACCTCATTAGTTTTCAACAGTCCCTTTCCGCATAGCTGCATTTCACATGCCAATGGTCTGTGGCGTCGTTTTCACGAGACTCTTTGTTATGATAAACTCTAAGCAAAAGAAACAACAAGGCCGGACGGGTGTTTCAAGAAAACAACATCGTATGAGGTTTTGCGTTGTTTATGAGCTGTGAAGTGTTTCCTTGAATTCAAGCCAAGTCAAGGACAGGTTCGTAGGTTCATAGGGATTCAATACATGGAAACTTGGGTATAAATGATGCTAAATGAAGGAGGATTGTCACTACCAAATTTCAAAAATATGTTGAAACTTTATTAACCCAAATTCTGCTGCCAAAAGCTTTACAAAGAAGCTTGGATTATATTTAATTATGTGAAGAAGTTGGCTAGAAAAATCGTAAACGGCTGAAGTTTGCTCGCTCAAGCGCTCTAGTTAAAAAAAAACACTTAGGATGTTTGTTAACGGTTTCAACCTTTACACTATACTCTACGAAATTTACAACTCAAATTGCAACAAGCTCTGCAAAATTTCAAGGTCTCATTGCCTACCGTAATCCGACAAGCGACCTCCAGAGAGATCAAATTATCTCTGAACTGTCGATTTAACAAAATTAGGTCGCTTAAATCTTGCCTAATTGTTGATCAAGGTCGTTGACTCAATTTCTACCTTTTTTGGAAAGCACTACATAGTATGAGGCAGCTTTGTACTTTTTCAAAAGGCAGATCCCCTCAGTTCTTCATCTTTCATGTTTTTTGTCATTCTGGGGCCTTTCTGGCCCTGATTACAGATATGAAGTGCAAAATGTGCGAAATCCCTAGAGACCCGATTTTTCGGAGCCATTCCGGATGCGCGGACAAGTTTCAATATAGTGGGCGGGGCTTGATAAGGGTGGGCGTGGCTTGATAACACTTCCAAAGTTTCAGGTCCATTTTTTCCATTCAGAGGCCATATTAGGGAACCGGAGCAACGCAAATGTCCTATAGGGCCTTCTTGCAGACTAGGCACTAATCGGGGGGGGGGGGCATAGATGCAAGGACCGTGTCATTAGAAAGAGAAGGTGAAAATTTTCCCAAAAACGATTTTTCGCGCATAGCTGAGTGTCCGTTCGTACAATAGCGTGAAACAGATGCGTGTAAAGAGTTGAACGAGGCATTCTGCCATTCCGATCAGCGATGAATAAGTTCATGCAAATAAAGGAGAGAGATCTCAACGAGGGAGGTCGATGAACCTCACAAATGGATTGTGCGCGACATTGTGGCAAAGATCGCACATGCCATGCTGGTTCGAGGAGATTGGACGAAAATGTGAGAGAATAGGGATGGAGTTGTCAGCTTTGAAAAATGACAAATTCCTGGATTAGCAGTCATTCTCGAAACAAAAGGAATGTTGAAGTAAGTAAAATTATTCATTCTATTTTATATTGTAGTTTGTTGCTGAATCTGGGGGGGGGGGGAGGGGGAATTAGTATGATTGAATAAACGAGAATAAGATCAAATCTAGTTTAAATTGAGTGAACGATACATCGTACGAATCAAATTATACACTACTAGTGAAAACCAACACTAATCATTTTTATGTTTAGATATTTCTGCTTCATCTATAATTCACAGTATAAGGAACACCTACGAAAAGCCAAAACTCAGGGGAAACTTCCATTACACTTACAATTTTGTAAGTTTGCTTTTGTGTGCTATTGAGTCCTTTGTATTGAAAAACCTAGCAAATGCAAAAAAAAAATCTCGTAAGTCCTTTTTCTTCAAGCCTTAATTAGATTAAAAAATACTCTGAATCTATGTTGAAAACTATGAGCCAACCAACGGCGGTTAGATCTAATCATTTGCTTTAAAAATTGATAAAAATGTTGAACTGGCTGCATATAAAACAACGAATATTATATCTGTAATGTGCAAAAAATTATACTTAGTAAGCTTGACTGGCGGAACTAGGAAGGTAACAGCAACGTCAAATTTCTTAAAACATGTAAAAATATAAAAAAACATAAACATATTGTGAAAATGTACAGCAAGTTCCATGAGAATAAATTGTAATTTTAAGCAAGTTGTAGTCATAAATGTATTTTCGTTTTTTTCTACTTCTACCATTAGAAACCAGCTCAATGAACTGCACTTCGAAAAATAGTGTTCGCGGTAGAGATTCAGAGATTTATAACAAACTGAGAACTGCAAGATATAAGATGAATTCTGGTGAAGTCCAAGTAAATAAGTCTGCTGGTGAAGTATTCTCGGAGACAAATAGAAGAACAAGCGGTTCATTTGCAAGCAAAAGTAAAACTTTTTACTTTAGGAGTGAGAGTACATAAATAAGACAATGAAAAGAGAACAGGGGTACTCCACCACAAAAAGTTCGTGAAAAAACCATAAAAACACCAGGACATTGCGACTTTAGCATCTATCCCATTATATGCCCAGACATGATTATTTACAAAAATTCACCAAAATACTTACCAAGTACGATTTGCATGCCGGTTCAAACGCGACGACGTTCACCTCCTCTCCCGGTTAGGGTAGGCGGAGTTGGAGGCAGATGGTTGGTGAGAGTTTCGGAGAGGGTGGGAAAGCGAAGCCCGCTCTCAGCAATTCGCTCAGCTTTAGAGAGAACAACAGTCTAAAGTGAACAATTTTTCCAGTATATATATCTGCCCTATAGAGTGGACAGAAACCGAAAAGGAAAAAAATTTGCCAAAAAAAGAGAATTTCTGCAACGGTAGACGCGATTTTGCAGATAGATCTAATTGAGCACACGAACGAATCAACGAGTCGATATGGATAGTTTTCAATGAAAAAGAGCACGATTGGATGCAATTCGTGGAACAATTGAGTGGGGGGCGAAAAAAAAAAGAAGAAACGAACAGCGGAACTGTAAAGACGAATTAGACGCGACCACAAGATGAATACAAATGGTTCCACAATGATTCGAATAAAATCGCTTTTTCACATCGGCGGGTGGATTTGCTTATGAAGCGGAATTCTGCGATTGAAGGATGTTTTGTGAGCGATAACAAATCATTTATAGGAAAACATGCACGATCAGGCTTTATGGATTGAGAATGTTGATAAGACTAAGTTCTTGTGAGAAGAGGAACTATTCACGCGAAGATTCCTCGGAGCAATCGTGGAAGGGGTTGTGAGCGCTTTTTTTCAAACTGTGCTTGTTGGAAATCTGTTTATTACTCACAGAAAGCACAATAATTACGCAGAGCAAATATACAAACGATACAGAATATAGAGGAAAATGAGAGGACAAGGATAAAAGAAGCTACTGCATTTGAAAATTATGCGAATTTCAGTTCTGGAGGTCTATCCGAATCAATTTCAAATAACTTTTTCTTGAGCACATGATTAGGTTTACTTGACTGTAGAGTATGACACGAAAGATACAATGAATTTAGAAAAACCGGCAACTACTTAAATGAAGTTTGAAAGTAGATATAATAAAGACCACTCTGAGGAGTTGACTATACTAAAAATTTTATACAGACGATTTTTGTCCTTGTATTTTAGGCTCAGCTCATACCACTTGAGTAGAAGTTGCTTGAAAAGTCTACTCAAAATGTCCAGAAAATTCAGCCACCAAACATAATTCTTCTAATTTCCAATGCTTAAACTATCACGCAAAGTCAAACGCTGTGATCTTGAATTTTGACATGGCGTTTGGAAAAAAACCCGAGTTGAGTGACTCCTGTCGCATAAAATCGTTCTCCAAAATGTGCAATTGCACAATTCTAAAGTCCATATGTTCCAATGGTTACAAGATTTCGTTCGGAGATTTTCCATTTACAAGATGGCAGAACTACACAAAATATATTTATCTAAATTGATTTTTGCTAGCTTTTGAAGAAAACTGTGACAGAAATCAAATTTTTCCACAAAAATAGTTATAAAGTTCCAGTTTCGCTATCTGTTGTGTAACGAGAGAAACACACATAAAGAGAGAACCTTGCAAAAACTTGAGAACCGAACATCTGTTCCAATTATTGAGGTCTGACAGTTATTTACTGCTGCTCGTTATTTATTACCAGTTATACAGCACACAGAGTACATCCACTGCTACATAAAAAGAGAATAATGTTAGTTTTCGACGAATGTGTTGGATCATTGGGCTATGCTCTTTGAATGAATAAAAATGTTAGCACTTTGTGAACATTTTTGATAGCATGATTCCATAATAAGGAAGGTTGTCCAGCTGGTAGCTTTTTCAGAAACGAAAAGTTCACTTGATAGGGGGAAGCACCAGACCTTTTTTATGCCAGCAAGATAGAAAAAAATAGTACTCGTTCGGAAAAGTCAACGATTTGCTAGTGCAGGAAACTCTGCATCTGGAAAGAATAAAAAGTGCAGAGAACCGCAGTTAGCAACTTTTTTCTGGCTACTACTCGTTCCAGCAACACTGCGTTACGCTTTATGGAGTCATAACAATAGGAACATCTAAGAAGAATGGATCGCAGGTAGACCAGGAAGTGTCAGATAATAAGTTATAAGGGAGGAAGGGAAGAGAAAGCACTAAGTTGTAATATAAGTGCTGAACTTTCTTCGTTTTCCTCCAAAAAACTCTACAATTTTTTCATTTTTGAGATTTTTCTATTCTCAATTGTTATGCTTATTTTTTACGATTTCTGAGAGCATCAGTATTAATATGAAGGCAGAAGACTAGGTCTCTTGATAAGCAAGTCGGAAACTTGCCAAAAATCATTGAGAAAATTTTTAAAACAATACAGATGAGGAACAATCTGAGAAAATTATGAAAATTTTCCTCAAATGTGACAAAAACTGTATTACGCCTTACCAGTTTGTCAAAAATTATATTATGATTCATGGAACAGATACAACTTGAATAATTTTTTGGCCAAAAAATGAGCAGTAGGTTATGCCATGTTACGGAAATGAGTAGAAGATAAGGCAGTGGTACTTTATTTGCTCAACAGGGCCATACGGCCTTAGCAAACAAGCAACTGCCTGTTGAGAGAACTTGGCACAACTTGCACATAGTCCTAATGTTCCCCATTTACCGGTTTTGTGGGGGCTTTACCAGAATTTCCTTTGTTCCTCAGGTGAATTCTAGTGTTTTTTCCTGCGTATCGCCTGTATTTCACATTTTTCTCTTTTTTCTTGTATGTTTTTGCATTGAATAGATAGAGAACTGCTAGAAGGGTAAACGTATAAATTTCGGATTAATCTAGAACTGAAGACAATAAAGTTCCACTCTTAAGTGCAGAGTAGCCGAGAGCCTATAATTTCTATTTGCGGAGGTTTTATTGACAAAACACTTAACAATCTAGCACTAGAGCGGAAGCTTGAAACCCGATAAGGGTCTCATCCAAAGACCGACGTAAAGCTTCAACAAAGGATATATTCTGGGGCCGGAGGGAGGGGGGAGGGGAGACACGATGTAAATAAGAAGGTTTGGAGAGGGGAGAGTATAAAAAGTAAAGCAGTAGTTCTTTGTCTATTAATTCGTTATTCGTGTATTCATGCAAGAACAATTCATTTTATCTTATTTATTAGTTCGAATATGCACTAAAGTACGCCAAAAAATTTGAAAGAGAGCAAGATTTGAACTTCTAATGAACTAGATTGATACCTAGAAAACATAAGAGTTCAAGAAGTACAAAAAAGCATCACTCGAGTGAATGGATGAAATAACAAGAAAAAAGATCACCAAGGAACTAACAAGTTTAAACCATTAAATAAGCCGAGAAAGAGCTCAATTGTATTATATAAGGCAGTGTGTGAGCTGTCCGTGAGCCAGCTCTGTGCCAACGCCGTTCCAACGCCGTGTCAGCGAAGTGCTAGCGCCGTGCCGAGACCTGCCAGCCCATTTTGTTGATCAGTGGGCCCGGCACGGGCAATTCTGGACATTTTAAGCTTACATATGAACAACATTTCCGAGTCTTCTGTCCTTCATAATCAAAGCGTTAGCTTTTATATTAACCAAGATATGAGATTTGATACAGCAAGATTTCTTGAGATCTAGTTCTAAGTAGAAGTTTTTAGTAGGAATTTAAGGGCTATCGTAAAAGGTAACAGTTTTGAAAAGAATCAAGATGTTTTTCGTTTAATGATATAGAGGTCACAACAAGGTATGCGAAGAATTTCCCTGAAATACATTTCTTGTAGATTTTCAGCCGATAAACTCGAAATTGTGCTACCGTAATCTTGCAAATAGCCAAAGTAGAATCTATGCTATAAATCAAGAACATATAGCTTTATAGCATGAATATCTCAATAACTGTCAAAGACGATCCGTCACAGCCTCTTGCTAGACGCTCTTGATCATTAGATCTCTATTAGAGATTGTTCAAACCAATCTACGACTTCAAAAGATGTAAAACACGAAAAAAGCAACCTTAAAAGGAAAATCCAGATCAAACGGCTCCACCCTTCGATGGATGTGGCCATCAGCTGATTTTCTTCTTAAACGATGAACAAATATAAGTCTGGTTTGTACACATACAATTTCGCCCTCAGTCTCGGCTCATTAATCTGAGGATGAGATTAATGCTGTGTTCGATAGAAGAACGCGGATCCAGATGTCATGCAAAGATCCTGGATTTTCTTGAGTTATGATCGCAGCAATGAAGGTTGTAGGTTGGGGAAAAGTTAAAAATAGGTATTTGTTGTAAATGTTGCTGAGGATATAGGAAGATGGACGTTTTGTACTACAGTATGCTTCTGCGCAACTTGCGGCAGCTCTCTCAGTAGAGATGCGGTCTTACATGGAAATCCATTACGGTAGTTGAAATCGCCGCGCACCCGAAAGCATAAACAGGAACCTTTTCAAATTTTTGGTATTTATGAGTAAACAATATCTTTTTGATCTAATCAATAATATTTATTTATTGGATTACAATCGTGGAAGATCATCTTCTATTGTACGACGAAATTTGTGTCTCCTCATCCAGAACAGGTTTTCTATTCGGATCAGGAAGTTGGTTGTTCTTCTACTGCGCAGTCTCTAATTAGATCAAGACCAACGTCAAACAGAACAAGACAATGATCCCAATTACGTAATAACATCTTTTTTGGATCGCTGAAAATTTGCTTCTAGTGTCTTTTCAAACTAATGCGAATTTAAGCGCTTTAAAGAAGTTTTATAACATAAAAATATTATTTGATTTTTCAGAACTTGGATATACGAAAAGCAAACCGAGAAGCTAAGAAGATTTGCAAGTGGCAAAATTCAAACTCTTCTAGTTACGGTCCCAGAGTTTTTTTGCTAACAAAGAGGGGGACTGTAATAATTTTAATTTGAATGAAGATGGTTTGAGAAAACCTTTCCAAGGAAATTCTTTGGACGTTTCCACATTTCTTCCGGCTTTATACATGTAGAACTGTGGTAAAAAGAGCCGTAGCAAAGCCACTTCCATAAAGGAACATTTTCAAAAAGGAAATTTGACTTTTATGAGGTTCATAAATCTAGGTTGACTCGCCATTAGAAATCAAGTTAGGTGCATGTTTTATGCGGACTGCGGCATATGCAGATTTCAAAAAAAAAATTCCGTGACCGGGAAGCCCTTTTCAAATTAAGAAGCCTCCCTATGGTATGTCTGTACGAAAAAGGTTCTTTTTCAGTCATTATTATTATTATACTGTCTTGCTGAGAGAATGAACGA